TGTTTGATTTCATTTATTTTGGTCTAATTTATTTGTATTTATCATATTAATAATATATGTTTAGTATGGTTTTGGAAGTGCGCTCCAACATATTTGTTGATCTTGTTTATTGGTAAAATATTATTTGTTTTAAAGTTCAATAAATGGTCAATGAATAATCGTCAAAATAATCGTGATATCAATTATTGACCCAAATAATCGTGATTATGATTTTTGCCATAATCGCACAGCCCTACTTGAATCTACACACAGCAAATAAACTCAAATGACACAACGAGAAAAAGGAGATCACACATACAGTATAGTCGATATACAACTGTCCGCTTCAATCTGAAGAGCAACTAAAACAAAACACGGGAGTGTACCTTGTTCTTGTGAACACTAATGTTATCCACAGCATACACAGAGACCACGAATTTCTTAAGGAGAAAACTAGTTACTAAAACAAAACACGTTAGTGTACCTTGTTAGCTAATGTTAGCTAGCTGACATTAACGTTACACATTGCACTCATATTACTCACCGAAACCTTGTAAAGCCGGTCCCGCTGCTCTTACAGAACCGACTAACTCCCCTTTCATATAGGTACAGCTCTCAACGTGCCCAGACTTGTAGTGATTTTCACCTCGTAAAATACTTTTATTCTCATTCTGAAAGAATGTGGTGAAATGTGCTAACGTGACGGCCATCTTTATGTTGGTGACGCGTGTTGTGCGAGACGAGAGACCTGTAGTTCACTGAGCGGTTTCACACGAAAAAATGTGTAACTTCACAGTTTTACGACACATTTTTATTTTTTTGACTTGCAAAATGTTCTTTTAAATTGACAAACATCATATGTGTCATTCGTGGCACAATTCAAACGGGATCAAAAGATAACCTTTCTCTCTCCATTGACTTCAATGTATAATTTTCCGCTTCCGGGGTCCCATGGAGGCTTTCGGAAGGGGAGGGACTTCGCCTCTCTATTCATCATTCAATTCATTCTATATTTTATTCTCGAGAATCGGAGCGGTACTACAGTCGCTTTACCGCACCATTGTGACGAAAAGGGAGCTGAGCCAGAAGGCAAAGCTCTCTGTCTACCGGGCCATTTTTGTTCCTACCCTCACCTATGGTCATGAAGAATGGGTCATGACCGAAAGAACGAGATCGCGGATACAAGCGGCCGAGATGGGTTTTCTCCGCAGGGTGGCTGGTGTCTCCCTTAGGGATAAGGTGAGAAGTTCGGTCATCAGGGAGGGACCCGGAGTTGAGCCGCTCCTCCTTCGCGTCGAAATGAGCCAGTTGAGGTGGTTCGGGCACCTAGTTAGGATGCCACCTGGGCGCCTCCCTAGGGAGGTGTTCCAGGCACGTCCAGCTGGGAAGAGACCAAGGGGTAGACCTAGGACCAGGTGGAGGGATTATATCTCTTCGCTGGCCTGGGAGCGCCTTGGGATCCCCCAGTCAGAGCTGGTTGATGTCGCCAGGGAAAATAAAGTTTGGGGCTCTCTGCTGGAACTGCTACCCCCGCGACCCGACCACGGATAAGCGGGAGAAGATGGATGGATGGATGGATGGATTTTATTCTGTAGATTGTGTACATTACTTTTCACTTTACTGCTTTTTGCACTCCTGGTTAGAAGCTAAACTGCATTTCGTTGTCTCAGTACCTGTAATATGTGCAATAACAATAAAGTTGAATCTAATCTTGAGCAGGAACACATGTATTTACTTAGTACATATCTGACATTAACGATTAAACCATAGAACACATGTGTGCATTCTTTATAAATGCAAACCAAGTCAAGCCGACTCCGGAGGTGGCGGTATGCACCTTAAAGTCGTTTGCAATCCGCCAAAAAACCGAGAGAAGAAGAAGAAGAAGAAGACGAAGCCGACTCCGAGCTGTCCGACTTCAGGCGAACTTTTTGAGACCTCCCCCGGCTGCGATCGGCTACTCTCGTCTACTTTCGAGGCGAGCCGCTGTCAGTACCAGATATGTTCGGGCTACCAGATATGTTCGGGCTACCAGATATGTTCGGGTGTATTTCCGTCGCATCCGTCATATTTTACGGCAACTCAAGAGGGCCATCACGGTCAAATTCCGAACATTTAAACATAGCCGACACTTAATTCTTTACTTTGTCCGTTATTATATGTAGAAGATTATACTTTTTCTCCGTCATGTTGTTTCCTGAGCAACAACTTCAAACAGGCATAGCCTACACTTCATTCTTTACTTTGTCCGTTATTATATGTAGAAGATATTAATTTTGTCTCCGTCATGTTGTTTCCATAGCAACAACTTCAAACAATAACAACTAACCGCTAGCCGCAAAGCTAGCATCACAGCCACTGCTCCGTTTTCAGAGACTTTGCACACGTTTTTCACAAACATGTTCACACGCTAGGAGTACTTCCATTCGCTTCGTCTTGATCTGTAGATGTGATTTGATGTGTCGTGTGTCCCCCAACTCCTCTCCAAAGTTCAGATATTTAATAGAATACTCATGGGAGTTTCCTGAATGTTCATGCCAAAAGCCAAGCACTAGGCTCTGGGTAAATTAAGAGGCTGATCTCGGGCACTTTTGTCCACTTTCCCTGGTGGTAGAAACTCAAGCCAGACATCCCTGGAATCGTCTCAGAGAGTAGATGATCAGTGGGGCCTTGTTTTTACTGAATGATGTGTTTTTTTATGGGGAATTCAAATATGAGCTTATTTTTAGGATTTTCGGAGACGTTGCACACGTTTTCACAAACATTTTCACGCTAGGAGTATGGGAGTACTTCCATTCGCTTCGTCTTGATCTGTAGATGTGATTTGATGTGTCGTGTGTCTCCCAACTGCTCTCCAAAGTTCAGATACTATATACAAATACTAAAAGGTAAATAAAACATTAAACATAATGACAAAATAACAACCTGAAAGATATGTATTCTATCTACACATTTCATAATTATCTAATCTAGTGGCCTTATAAAAGTGTTGGCTAAAGTAATGCAGAATATATATATTTTTGAATTGTAAATAATTAGAAACATTATTTATGTGCACAAGTACATGGGACCCCACCATAGCACCCCACACATAACAAGCTGTCCCGAGTTCCTCCGGCTGCAGTTCCGCAGACGGCCAGTGTGTGGCAGCAGAGTGCTGGGAGCAGAGGGAGGTGAGTATATGACGGATATGACGGATGACGGAGGCGACGGAAATACACCCGAACATATCTGGTAGCCCGAACATATCTGGTACTGAAACCGCAACGCGTCTCAAACAAGCCTGTTATTATACATCCATGGTCGTTTCCCATCAAGCATTTCGCTTCCGCAGCCCGTGGAGAGGAACTGCGCCGCCTCGCCGCGCCTCGCTCTCAAGGCTGCGGGCGATATTTCAACGTCTCATGTTGGCGAGCCTCCAGAGCAAGTCGGACAAAATGACTAACCATCATGCAACGCGCTAGCAAGACGTTGATCGCAACTGCGCCCGAACTGCGCAGGTCTCGCTTGTCTCAAACAAGCCTTTTGACTCGTCTCTCTGAACTTTGTTTATATCAATTTTTACTTTTTTTATTTATCTTTTATTGTCATTTTAATGTACAAGTTTGTATGTTTATATATCTGATTTTATCTTATTATTGCACACTTCTGACTTCTTATGTTTATCTTATATTTAGTTTGATTAATCTTCTATTTTATTTTATATTCTTAAAGACCACTATATGCTATATAAATGAACTTGAATCAATTGATTCATAAATAAATATATTTAATTACTTGATTATTTAAACATAAGCTAAACGTTTCTGAATCTGCTGAATCTTATTTACAAAAAAACATTTTACAAAGCAAGTATTGCCAGAAGAATGAAATGTTCTGATAAATAAAGATTTTAAAATGATTATTTAACGATAAAGAAAATTGGCTTTTTGCACATTATCTCTTGTCATAATAATGAAACCCCCTTTTCTCTAAGGAATGTGTTTTTGTTGTATTGGAGAGGTTTGGCAATGTCTAAAAGGTAAAAAAACAAGAAGCCACATAATTAAGGTGGTATATGCTGAGGGCGTGTTGGTATTTTCTTCTTGGCTATAGGTGGATTTGGTCCTTTGCCAATCATTCCTGAAAGAGCTCCTCAGGAAATCTAATGCAAACGATGCCAAAGCTTTAGAGACGCGAGCATCTCCAGGAACACTTAAGCTTTTACAGCTGAAAGAAAGTATTTAAAACTTGCAAAAAACCCAGTTTAGTAATTTTTTTATTGGGGGAGTGATGTTACTTTTTTCGTAATAACTATTTTAAAAGATACATTTGAATGAGATTCCGGCTAATTTCAAGTCATATCTTCAGACTGCTGAACATAAAAAAAACGTAACATCTGAACCTTTTCCTTTCAAAGCAAAGTTAGTTATTTGAACATGAACATTAAATCATATTAACATGTCACAGTAGAAGCACAACACACACATATGAACCTGAAAATAATAGGGAAAACTTTAATGAAACACCATGTTTCTACTGCGTGTTTCTATAGCCCAATCAATGCAGTTACAAGAAATAGTGCATTAAGAAGAAGGTCATTGTGATGCCTGCCCTTCCCCCTCCTTTCTTTGTGTGTCCCCTCTTCCCACCTACGCTTCTCTGTCATGTGATTACATTAACGTTATATGACTTATCTATCTACAGTATGTTGCTGCCAGTGTACCTGCCGTTACTCGTTGATTTCTGCCAGCTTGTGATTTGCGTGACCTTAGATCCACAACTCTTTTCCCACACTAATTCAATCCTTCATCAGATTATTTTTGCCACACCTTGCTTTCGTAGTATTCTCTAAAATTAACTGTAAAATACATTTAGTAAAGGCCATGTTCATAACAAATGATGAAGATTAGAAGATGACAAATGTCTACTAAAGCAGTATTGGTTTTGAAAGCAAACCATCATTTATTAGGTGGACATTTCTTTCCAAGCCTGCTGTTCCTTTTTTAATAACCATGTTGTCATACTTTGTTGTTTACCAGGAAACAAAAGAAGCTATGGGTCCCAGGTCAATAAAGGTACAACAATTAAAATTACTTGCAATAATATAAAGTACTCAGCTGTGTTTATATGTTCCTTTCACCCTGTAATGTTGATTGTAAAAATAATCTCATAAATTATATTTTTGTCTCTTTTTCCTCTACAGAAACGAAGCACAAACCCTGCAAATGTAAGTAATCAGTTGTATCAGGTTCAATCACTGGAAAGTCATTGTGAAATCTGGATATAATAATGCAATACACATGAGACCATGGCGACTGGTAGCTTCTATCTCACAGTAGTGCCATTGTTACTGTCTGAAAAATCAAGTCCACATTAAGTATAAAGCTCATTGCTTCCAGATGTCCATGCACTCTTTCCCCCACAGTGCCGATTGGCATGCATGTATTCCTCTCTGTGCTTTGCTGGAGACAATAAACATGCGGGAAGTGATTTTTGTCCCTCTGAGCTTTTATTCCTATCTACAAAAGTTCCATCTCACATTGTGTTTACATAACACTGACCTATCTGGGTTGTGTGACATGAATTTTCCATTAAGGAGACAATTCTCATGACATCCGATGCACAACTCAGTAGAGAGACAACAACCAGCTGCCAGTTGTCTTAGCCACTGATCTTGCTGTGATATCATGTTTTAATATTGGTTGTGGGTATGACTTATTGATGTTGTTTCCTGTTTAGAAAGCATTTTACTCAACCCTTAAACTTACATTTGATCTGAGGTTTAAATCCTTTATTTGAAAACAGAGTTAAATCCCACATCAAATGTATGGTTGGGAAATTCTCTTGTGATTATAATGTGACGTTAAGTGTCTGTTGCTTTGTTTCTTATGTGTCCCTGTGGATGATGCAAATGGAGTTTCTGTGGTGCAAGAACAAATTCAGACTTAAACTGAACTTAAAGTATCATCATATCATCGTATTATATTCGGCATGACAGGTTTTGGGTATTTTGTGTCAAATTGCAACAAGGGGGTGAGAGCCATAAAGCAGACAGACCAGGTGACAGGAGGTATTCACTATATTCACTATAAGCTATTGGCAAACAAGAAAAAACAAAGGTTTTACTGGTTGGAGGCAAGCATGAACAGATCTTAATGATGGTCCCGGTGAAAAAGGAATGGAGCCGAGAGAGAAGGACAGGGAACAATGTGACAGTGCGTGAGTAGAAAAAGGGCTTGGTTAATACTGCAGGGCTTAGAAGGGAAAGTGGGAAAGTGGGGAGGGGAAGAGGTTAATGCAGGACAGACAAGGGAAGTAGGAAAGTCTGAGGGCATCTGGTGGACAGATGGAGAATGACGGTAACTGAGGCAGGATGAAACTGTGCTCATCCCTTTCAGATGGTGGAGGTGTACAGCGTGAGGGTGGACTGCACCGTGACGTTACGTTTCGCCCACACCGTCATGACCTCCAAGGCTCTGAACAGAGCTAACTCCTCCCAAGAAATATTCTTCGAGGTGGACCTGCCCAAAACCGCCTTCATCGCCAACTTCAGCATGTCAGTCCAAATGTTTTTGACTTTTAACTGTGAACACAGATGGTGGTTAAATGTAGTGTTTTAGTACAATTTGAAAGAACTTGTTTTTTAATCTCATGCCACTATCTACTCCAATACTGTACTAAATATTGAGCTTTTTCCTCCACTTAAATTATTTGATAACTTCATTCTCTATTACTTTTACATATTAAGATTTTAAAACCTATGAAAAGGAAGCACATCTATTGCTTGTTTGATATATTGACAGACCATAATTTGTCAAATATTTTTGATAAGGATTGAAGTCATTTTTTATAGTTCCAGCTTCTCAAATATTTGGATAGAATTCCTTTTTTTACAGTGTGGTATCTAAAAACTTTCTCTAGCATATTTTAACAGTCTCTTTCTTCCTCACAGGGAAATCGATGGTCAAATGTACGTTGGAGATGTAAAGGAGAAAGAGAAAGCTAAGAAACAATATGAGAAGGCTGTTTCCTCTGGACAGACTGCTGGACTGGTGAAGTATGTTGGACTGAAACATTTTACAGTGAACCCGTTGTAGTATGAATATTAAAGTAACACACTTCCATCATTACAGGGCTTCTGGAAGAAAGATGGAGAAGTTTTCAGTCTCTGTCAATATCGCCGCCAACAGCAGCGTGACTTTCGTTCTGACCTACGAGGAGCTCCTTCAGAGGAAACTGGGCCAGTATGAGATTCTGACCCGAGTTAAACCAGAGCAACCGGTGCAGGACTTCCAGGTTGGACATGATCTCCTCCTCTATTCTACGTCATAAAAACATACTGGTCAGGAGGAGCTGGAAAGCTGCCTGTCCACACTTGATCTGCCTCAGTGATAACGTGTGCCTGTGTGTATGTGTGTGCCTGTGTGTGTGTGTGTGTGTGTGTGTGTGTGTGTGTGTGTGTGTGTGTGTGTGTGTGTGTGTGTGTGTGTGTGTGTGTGTGTGTGTGTGTGTGTGTGTGTGTGTGTGCCTGTGTGTGTGTGTGTGTGTGTGTGTGTGTGTGTGTGTGTGTGTGTGTGTGTGTGTGTGTGTGTGTGTGTGTGTGTGTGTGTGTGTGTGTGTGTGTGACAGATTGTGACAAACATCTATGAGCCTCAGGGTATTGCTTTTGTTGAGACCACTGCGACTTTCCTCTCCAACGAGCTGCTCCCCCTGGTGAAGAAAACCGTCACAGACACAAAGGTAGACAGATTTCTAAGCTTCTGAACATTATGATGAATTTTTTAAGCAATAATGATGTCTCCAATAATGTCATGAAATATATATTTTTTGGCTCTCAGGCACACATCTCTTTCTCTCCAACGCTGGATCAGCAGAGGAAATGTCCAGAATGTGAAGGCACCATCATTGAAGGAGATTTCATCATCAAGTACGATGTGAAACGAAAAAAGGGCCTCGGGGAAGTTCAGGTCAGGAGCCAGCAAAGACTTTTCAGCAGCACATAAGACTCACAATATTATAAATTAGAGGAGCAAAGCCTAAATAGACTTTTGGATAGCTTACAGCATTTTTAAATGAGGTTTAAAGGGATTGTTCAGATTTTATGAACTACTTATCCTTATTCTACCTACATTAGATTGCATTCATCACGTCCCACGTTTAGAGAAAAAGGAGTACTGAAGCAAAGCAATGTTGTTTTGGAAGAGCGCGTCAGCAAAACACATTTTTGCCCTTTAAAAGAATCCCTCCAAAAAAAACAATTTCAGTCCGTTTGCTTTTTTTAAATATTGCGTTACCTTCTTGTCAAACAGCTTTCCCCTATAGGGAGAAGCATAGGCCGTTATATCAATCGAGACTTGTTGACAAAAACAACAATTTTACCTCACAAAATACAGATGTTGCTGGTTCACCTGTGCCCAATTGGTAAGTTTGTTCGTGTTATTATGCTACTTTGGTGAATAGTGTCTTCTGGGTTTTGCGAGGTAACATTATTGTTTTTGTCATAGGATCTCGACGCTCTGAAGTTAACATAAGTTCCTCTTCAAAAAGAGCTGTCATCCATAAGGTTAAAAATATTCTTAAAATACACTTTAAAGGGCACCTATCATGCAAAATACACTTTTGTACGTCTTTTATACATGAATATGTGTCCCTGGTGTGTCAGGGAACTCACCAAGTGTCAGAAAACACAACCCTCTCTCTTTTCCTCCATACCCAAATCTCTAAAAACGGGGCTGCAACGGATCTGATACAGATTGATCCAGATTTGAAATTGTTCTGACGTCAGAAACGGGGTGCTCCGCCTATATGGGCAACTCTCCACCTATCAGGGGAATGAGAGGTTGCTGTGGCATGGTAACAGCATGGTAACAGCATGGTAACAGCATGGTAACAGCATGGTAACAGCATGGTAACAGCATGGTAACAGCATGGTAACATGACGCTCGTGCCTCGCCCCTCTCCTTTGCAGCTCAGCCACAGAATCAGCCCTTGCAACAACAGGGCTGGAATAGAGCAAATAGAGCGAAATGAGGCATGGCTAAAAGGCATGATCTGTTTGGTATTTTGAAAAAAAAACTTCACAGACATGTTTTATATAGGTATGGCCCTACAATATATTATTCAAATATAGCATGATAGGTCCACTTTAACTAATAGATTTTTTTGAGGTGGGTCTTTCTTTGAGCTGGCTAAAGTACCTTGTTTGCTGCCCCTGTCCAAACCAGGTTATTGTTCTATCTTGTTACTGTTGCTGCTAAAACAACTGGGGATCAATAAACATTTATCTTATCTTATTTCCAACATTCTGAAAGATCCCTTTAAAAAAAGCTTTACTCCTGATCTTAGTTTTACTTCCATATTCCTTTGAATGTTAGCATAGTTTTGGCCTGGTATTATATATTCACAATAGCCTTGAACAAGTGCTTTATTTCCCTTCAGATTGTGAACGGATACTTTGTGCACTTCTTCGCTCCTCCTGACCTGCCCAGAGTCCCAAAGAATGTGGTGTTTGTGATTGACAGGAGTGGATCAATGAGTGGACAAAAGATGAGTCAGGTAAAATGCTTTTTGTGTAAGTGAAATCCATACTGTATTCACCCCCCTCATCACTTTAAGGGGGTGAGATTAAATAAGTTATACTTCTTCTCACTCCTTTTCGAACACTAGATGTGGCACTGTTTATGTTGCTAATGCTGTTGTTGTTGTAAATGTCATTTTTTGTTTTGATTTCTCTTACATGACTGCACTGCAACATTTGTTTTGTTTTGTAATTTTTATTTTACTTGTTCGAAAATAAAATGTATCAATCAATCACTGTTTTGTATGTCTTCATATGTTAATTTCGGTACCTTTGCAGACCCGCGATGCACTTGTTGCCATTCTGAAAGACCTCCACGAAGAGGACCACTTTGCTCTTATCCTGTTTGACGATCAAATTATCACCTGGAAGAACTATCTTACCAAAGCTACACAGACAAATGTGACTGAAGCCATTGCCTACGTCAAGAAGATAAGAGACAATGGATGTAAGAAGAAAACATGTGGTACCAACTTGTATGCCATATTTGATGTGCATTTCCTAATCAGATTAATTTAAAGATCCCATGTCATGGCCATTTCTACTGATCATAATTCCATTGTTGAGGTCTACTAGAATAGATTTACATTGTTCAATGTTCCAAACTCACATTGGTTTCTCATACAGCATCTCTGTATAGCATGTGTCTCTGTCCTAAACGGCTTGTTGGAGCTCCTGTCCCTCCCTCCCTGTGAGCCCAGTGTGCTCTGATTGGTCAGCTCGCCCACTCTGTTCTGATGAGTCCACCACCGTTACAGCGGAACATCAGTGTTTATGTGTTACAATGGCGTTAGCAACCAGAAAATGACACCAGTAATGACAAACAGATGAGAATGCTGCGTGGGGTCTGGGTGCTGTGTTGGCAGGACATTGCGCGGCTCGCTGCTGTGAGGAGGGGACAGTGTGAGCTCTATTACTGGTGTCGTTTCCTGGTTGCTGTGTGGGGTCTGCGAGGCTCCACTAGCACCCGCACCCGCATGGGACCTTTAAATATTTACACATTTTACAATTTGTCAACAAGGGAGAAAGACTCACTCCCATAACACCATGATACTGACTGTTGCTTTAAAGTGAGTTGACAGCAGTGTTATTGCTCATCTCATCTAAGATTCACAAAGAAAATAAATGTTGTAGAAAATGCTATACTATTCCTATTGAGGATTGTTACTTTGTTTCCTAGGTTGTAATTTATCTCAGGAAATGTTCATGTTTACCTGCTCATTGTATTATTTCTTTTCAGCCACCAATATCAATGGTGCTGTACTGAGGGCAGTGAAAATGCTGGAGAAAGAAAGAAAAGATATGAACCTGCCAGAAAGGAGTACAGATATGATTATTTTACTGACTGACGGGATGCCCAACAGCGGTAAGATGTCTTGATTTGAAGATTATAATAAGATTTGTGCATTCTGCATAAGCATTTTGAATTAGGGGTGTCAGAAAGTCAAAAGGGATTTGTTCTAACTGATTTATTTCTGAAACACCCATTTTAAAAAAAATACCCAATGAAGATTACCTTTTTCTAAATTACAAATATCGTACAACTTTGCTGAGTAACTATCTTGTGGAAATCACAATGCTTTTATTGCATGCTTAGAAATAACACTTGTGTTTCTGCATGTAGGGGAGTCAAGACTTACAAAGATTCAGGAGAATGTGCGCTCTGCTATCAACGGGAAGATGTCTATGTTCTGTCTTGGATTCGGAAATGATGTGGTATACTCCTTCCTGGATGTGATGAGCAAACAAAACAAGGGAGTAGCCCGCAGGATCTATGAGGGTTCGGATGCAGCCGTACAACTCCAGGTTTGGATAAAGATCAAACTAAATAATGATAATGTCCATGCAAGGTTGGGAATATTTGTCATATATATTCCCAAACAATAGGGAACAGACAAGGCCTGATTTGGACTATGTCCTTGTTCCAGGGTTTCTATGATGAGGTGGCCAACCCTCTGCTCTTGGAGGTGGACCTGCGTTATCCTGAGAACGCAGTGGACTCCCTGACGACTAACCACTACAGCCAGCTGTTTAACGGCTCAGAGATCGTGGTGGCAGGTCGACTGACCGACAACGACCTGGACAACTTCTTGGTGGAAGTGTTCGCTCAGGGGGTGAGGAATAGACAGTAGTAAGCCAATAAGCATGAAAAATGTCTATATAGTAGTTGTTTCTCGAGACAGTTCCTGTAACTGAATATTCAATGCTAAGTATAGTATTTTTAAAGAAATTTAACTTAAGTAGATTGCTGTAGTCTAACTCACTATGCTATCATGTTCCTTTTTTACTTTTCAAGGCTAGGGGGATGGTCAGTCCTTCACCTTGAGACTGAAAGATACAACAATTTTGGTGGATTTTAATGTAATTTTGTACATAAAGTCATAATCCCAAAAGGAACCATCCTACTGACATAGTCCATTACATTTTTCTTGAGGCTTAATCATCAGGTCAACATTTAAATTGGTCAAATACTTTGTTTTACAATCAAATACCTTCAAAACTATTGTTATTCCCTACACCACAGCTATGCTTTGTGCTTAAAAGTACCCTACATGTTTGCATGATAGCTTGCTAAGATATATACCTGGAACACTGTTATTGTGACCATGTTAGCATTTAGCCTCAAAGCGCTGCTAGCGATGCTTTAGACTCTCAGTCTTGTTTTGATCAAATAAAACTACAAATAACTTAGCTGTCAGTAATAACTCATAACATTTCTCCTCCTTCTCAAGTCTGAAGAAGACTTTCAGGAACAGGGAAAGGCCAGTGAGATCAATTTAGATCTGATCTACCCTGAGCAAGAGTACATCTTTGGGAATTTCTCTGAGCGTCTGTGGGCCTACCTCACCATCCAGCAGCTCCTCGAGAAAAGGTCTGTTAATTTGAAATGTGTCTGTCAGTTTTATCTCTACCTGTCCAGGATTTGAAGCAAGATTCTCCATCAATAATGACATTATTCAAAGGAATTCAAATCATTTCATGGTGCATATTTTTGTTGCACCTCGCGCCTCCAATGTCATTAAAAAACACTCAACTTATCAAATCTCTCTTTTTTTTTTAAATCTGCCAGTGACATTGGTACTGAGCAGGAGAAAGGCAATGGGACTGCCAAGGCCCTGGACATGTCTGTGCAATACAGCTTTGTCACCCCTCTCACCTCCATGGTGGTCACTAAGCCTGACACTGAGGATGGACCAGGCAGCCCTCTCATCGCTGACAAACTGACTGAGGGTAATATTCAAAGTGGAAATGGACGAGATCAGGTGGAAGCAGCAGGGCGTGGTGCAAAAAGCTGCCGTCAAATCGGACAGTTTCAAGCAGTCGTCAAAGAATATACAGGAAGTCACATGAATTCAGTGTTAGATCCATCTGTGGGCTACCCTTAGTTTGTCTGTCATGTTTGTATAACGATGCCTCTGTCATAATTGAGAAGAAAATTAGAAAAGGTTTGGCCAGATTTAACCCTTGGAAGCCGTATTTATTCGATAACCTACATAAAACGTTTATGTGAAGTCATTTAAAAAAACATGCAACCCTTCATTAAAGAAATATACCTATCAAATGTATAGTCACAATATTCTGATAGCTACGTATGCTACACAAGGGTTGAAAAAGAAAAATGATGACAACAAGACACAAGTTTTGCATTGTTTCTGAAGCTGCAGCGTGTTTCTCTTAATGTTATAGTTTTGGGCCGTGGTTGCGCCACCCACCATACTATTGTTATATTATAGGTTAAATCAAAAAGTGTATGTAGAATATGCCAAAGACAATAAACTAACTTTGTTTTGTGTGTTTTCTATACTTTCACAGACCAGCGACAGAAAGCAGAAAAACACACAGGTATGACAATCACTTTTAATGTAATCATGTGACTTCTGATCGCATTTTGGGCCAAACAAGCATTCATTATTTTTCATAACAGGTTCTCCAGCCAGTAGGATACAACTCCATAGTCCTATCGCCGCCAAAACTCAGACTGGGGCTAGCAGTTCCAGTAGTGGCAGTAGTGGTGCAAGTAGCAGTTCCCGTGGCATCAGTTCCCGTGGCAGCAGTTCCCGTGGTAGCAGTTCCCGTGGTAGCAGTTCCCGTGGTAGCAGTGGTAAGCTTTTCATACAGCAGCAGTTTTACGATCACATCAATATATCATATAAATGCATTAATTTCCCCTGTCACTTTAACTTAAATCTTCAAATGTAATAATTACAGCGGTTTGCCATATCAGATTTCCAGATGAATCCTGTGACATTTGTTTATTTCCTGTCGTAAAATAGGACATATTATGCTAATTTCAGGTTCATATTTGTGTTTTGTTCCTCTACTGCAGTGGTTCTCAAACTTTTTCTGTCAGGCCCACCCTTTGGAGAAAAAAAAAAGTCGGGCCCCCCCCAAGACAAATAGTCAGGCTCAGTGGCAGCGCCAGAGATTTCTTTTGGCGGTGCTGTGGGGTAGCTTGACGTTTCATAGAGGGTGCTCAAACATTTAGGGTTTCCCATTAATGTACCGGTCGCTACAGTGGAATGTTCTACTGCAACACTCCCCACACGCACATAGACAGTGTACTGTTACAATGAAGGCTCGATAATCAGCTCACGGCATATAGGTGTAAGCAGGGGTCAATTGCTATTTTTATAGGTGGTGTGTGGACCTCACATAGGGGGGTCCGGGGGCAAGCTCCCCCGGGAAGATTTATTTCTAAATATTGAAGTTAAATGCATCAATCTGGTGCACTTTGAGAGCAAAATGAAGAGATCTATGGATACATCTCTCAACACCCATTTGAAACAGAACTGTAAACAGATTTACTTTTTCTTTATGGATATTTTACAAATCACCCTTTTAAACTTTATTCTTGTTTTACTGTCATATAGTATTTCATAGCTGTTTTTCATTTATTCTCTTATTTTTGTATAACTATAATGATCATAGATGTGTGCCTCGGAAATAATTGTTTACATTAATGGTGACCAAAACATTTGAGACCCACTGAGATAACACTGAGAGAGTCCTTTAGCTCACTGAGTCTCTCAGTCTGACAGGAGAGGACTCTCCTCCACTTTGTTGTTGATAAAACTCCTTATATCCGTTAGCGTAGCTCGCTAGCACCAGAAGCTAACAACAACGATCTCCGGTACCGGTGCGCTCTCTCTCTCTCGCTCGCGCACACAAAATGGCTCGTTCCACACACACACACACACACACACACACACACACACACACACACACACACACACACACACACACACACACACACACACACACACACACACACACACAGAGCCGAGCTCGAATGAAACACAGAGACCCAGACGTAATGGTACTCTACTGCATCATATTATTTTAGAATCAATAATTTTTCAAATTATGATTTCTTTTTTTTTCTTTTTTTCTTCTTTTTTTATAACCATTTTTCCTCCTGGTCTCTCGCGCCCCCCTGGCATGCCTCTGCACCCCCCAGGGGGGGCGCGCCCCCCACTTTGAAAACCACTGCTCTACTGTGACATGTTTACATGCTTTAATGTTCAAAAAGTGCTTTATTTTTCTCACACTGCTTAAGATTGTATTAAAATATCATAGTTACAAACTTGAGTTTGACTCTTATACAAGCTTGTTTTCCTGACATGACACTTTAATGTTTGTGCAGCGGACGGGGATCCTCACTTCATGATAGAGCTGCCAGACAGAGATGAGGCTCTATGTTTCAACATCAACGACAAACCAGGAACCGTTTTCAACCTGGTCAGAGACCCAATACCAGGTGAGTGAGTTCTACTTTTTTTGTGAAAAACCAAAGAAAGGCCAACAAACTAAAACCTGTCATTATTTCAGGCTTTATGGTGAACGGCCAAATTATCGGCAGGAAGAAAATTGATCCGCATGGTAAGATCAATACCTACTTTGGCCGTTTTGGTATCATCCACCAGAAGCTGGGCATGAGGCTGGAGGTGAGCACGCAAGAAATCTCAGTTTTCCACGAAGGCAAGCAGGTCAAGCTGCTGTGGTCTGATACAACCTCTATCAAAGAAACCAAGTGAGTAACATTGCCTTACAAATATTATCTAAAAGTAATAGGAGGAATATTGTCATTTTGGTCATGCCAGGATAAAATGCTTTTTTAAATGAATGTAAAGAAAGATTCTATTTAATTTTGGATTTTATGTTTTTGAAATACTTTTAATTACGGTAAAAACACAAAACAAATACTTATTCTTAGACCTTCAAAAATGCATGGCAAAGATGACAGAGCACATAGCTTTATCAATTAAAGGGGACCTATCATGCAAAATGCACTTTGTGATGTCTTTTATACATACATATGTGTCCCCGGCGCGTCGGGGAACTCGCGCAGCGTCAGAAAATAAAACCCTCTCTCTTTTCCTCCGTATACCCAAATCTTTTAAAAAAAACGAATGTACAACGAGCGGATACAGATTCCATCTGAACTGACGTCAAATCGGCAGTGGACCCACAGAAAGTTGCTATCAGAAACAATGCCTGACGTGTTTTGGACGTCTTTGTTTAGATTAGCTAGCCTCACTGTACTGTAGAGCACATGTGTTTTAAAAAGCAGGAAATAAAAAAAGAACTCACCTTGTGATAAATCTGCAAGAGAAAAAACATTTGAGTTCCATATTATTTCAGAAATAATCCTTGACGTGGTTTGAACAGGATGGCGTTTTATCACAGCAGAATTTAACTTTACCTCCGGTAGAATTCTGATCAGGCATTAGCTCCGCCTCCTCTTCTTTCTTTTTTTCAAGCTAAGGACCCAAGATCCGCGTTTCTCTAACAGGGCTGCAAAAGAGGGGTTTGAGCAGTAAGAGGCGTGGCTACGGGTGAACTGTTTGGTATTTTGAAAAAAAGATTTCACAGACATGTTTTGTATAGGTATGGCCCTACAATATATGTTTCAAATATAGAATGATAGGTCCACTTTAAGTTGCGTGCCTCATTTTATTGGCTCATAAAAATATCTTGTATGGAATTAATCTGCTGATTTTCTAGTTTAAAATGAGAATGTGTTAAAATGTTCATTGATTCAATAACATTTATTGAATTAATGTATGTAAATATATTCTAATAGTCTTACACTGAAAACTAAATTGACCTAAAATTGCATTGAAAAATAAATCTTCACTCTGCTTTTCATGGCTCCTGTGAATCACAAATACACCTAACTACCTTTGTCTCTCCTCCAGTATGGACCTCAGGTTAACTAAGAACTGCAGCCTGACAGTGACGCTGAAGCACTCTGTTAGATTTGAGGTCATTAGACACACAAAGGTTTGGAAGGAACGCCACGACCAACAGGACTACCTGGGTTTCTACAACCTGGACAGCCACCACTTGTCTGATTCGGTTCATGGTTTGCTAGGTAAAGATCTAGTTTCCTTTAATTATGCGATCACTGTGCAGCTTTCTTTATATTTCCTGATTCCTTATTTTATACAAATAATCTTCCTCCAGGTCAGTTCTACCATGGCGTTGGGTTTGAGTTGACAGACCTGCATCCACATAAGAACAAGGAGAAAATAGATGCCACCATGTATGTGAAGGGACAAATACTCAACGTAACCAGGTAATATGTAATATGGTTTAAACACACAAACACATAATGCATACAAGTTCAAGGAGTATTTCATCACAGCTTTTTTTAATTCTAATTCACAGACACTGGCAGAAGGACTTCAGCAGGGATGTGAAGAATGGGAAAAGTATTCCCTGCTGGTTTGTTAACAATGATGGAGCTGGCCTTATCGATGGAGAAGCCTCGGACTACGTTGTGTCAGGGCTTTTTCAAGGCTGATTTTTGTGAGAGATTGCAGGTTATAGTGAGCCACATTGAGTGTTCATTTCAACATTGCACACATTCTGAAACAAACATTCTAAATCCCAGGATCTTTACAGTCTTATTATTTAATGGCGATACAAAATAACAATTATGATTCCTGATCTCATAATGGACATTACTTCCCAAAAAACGACAAAGTGAATGACAATTTGTGCACTCTTCTTGATGTATTTACTGCTGTTAGGTATATTATGTTGCTTTCCAATTTCCGGCTGTCATAGAATTATACGTCTGCATACTTCACATACAAACCATACCATTGCCTTTAAACTGAATGTACCTTATGGCATGCACATGTGGGTATCAAAGGGTATCCAAATAAGCTTTAAGACCCTGGCCACAACTATACACAACTTGATTTCGATTCAAAAAAGTTGAAACCTGTACACCGGTACGTTAAAAAACACAACCACATTTTGTACTTTTCAACTCTCATTTTTGCCATATCTGGGCTTTATGCCAACTTTGCACCATCACAGAGAAATTATCAAAGAATCTTATCATATGGATGTACTTCTTGTGATATTGTTATTGAAATTGTGTACACTGAAAAAACGTATTTTATCATCGCTAAGATTCAAAGGTAAAACCAACACAGCTGTTTTCCACAGGTTGGTATATATTTTTTTAGATGTTACAGGGAATTTTTACTCTTTAAACAAAAAAATGTTTGGGCCTATATTTGTTGTATGTGATGACAATAAATGTACATATACGCCAGTTTGTGTTTGATTGTTGTAGCTTTTCAGAATCAGAATCGGGTTTATAACCAAGTAGATTTTCACATACTAGGAATTTGCTTTGGTGTAAATGGAGCAGATACCAAAATAAGAATCTGGAATTGTTTTAAAGGAGCAACAAATAATACGATTATAAAAACTATTAAAAAAACTATTGTAACAAATAAAAAATAAACATAATATTTGTACAGAAACAGTACAGTAAAATAAGATATGACATACTATATTCAAAGTGGAGATCTCCTATAATTTCCTATACCTAGTACAATTTTATATTTTAAGTCAGAGTACTGCTTCATTAAACCTTGTTTGTCAAAGGATTTATACAGTGGCATTTTATTTATTTGTTTTTGCCATGCTAGCCTGGCCTTTTCCATTTGGCTAATGTCATTAAAGCGCATGCGCAGATAGAGCATTGTGTTTAGTTGTATGGTCACAAGGGGCAGCAGTGAGCTCATTACGGTTTGTTGTTGCGCTGGCAACGGGAGGTAAAGAAGACGCCGCATTCGAAAACAGTGTTTGACCGGCCACACTCAAAGGTGAGATTTTAGCTTTAGTTTACATATTGTTAATCAGTTTTTTTCACTTTTACAAACGAAAAGACTAGAAAGATACTAACCGATTAATTTGGCACAATTACCACAACACTGTGCCGCTAAAGTCACGCAAATCTACCCCAAGCTAGCTAACCGTTACTTCACACAAGCTAGCTAATGTTTTTAGCTAACACAACGTCATAGGGATGGAGTTTAAAATATTTTAGCGAACCATGAGTTTTTCTGACTCACTGTAATTGGGGTGTTATTAAGTATCTCTTATACTCAAACATGTTTGTATATGTCGCCCTGTAGAATCTTCCTCATGGGCCAGGAGACTGTTTCTTGGCTGCTCCTTGAAGAGAGAAGACCAGAAACGGGTGTCGAATAAACGTGTGGACGGAGGTTTGTCATTTTCACACTCACTAAGCCACACATAAAGACCCATGGTAAGCCTATAGTTTACAGCAGTACACATCATTGATATGCTGTAGTCATATCACCCGCAGTACGTTTAAACATGATTCGTTGAATCACGTTTATTAATGTTTTTTTTACATTTTTGCTCTCCACATTTTTAAGATTGAAACATAATTATTCTAAAATGTAACCAAATACTATTTCCCCCTTTTTACAGCACTTATATATAACAGCAGTCATTATGGTCCATATTCACACTTGTGATTTTCATAGTGTGTTTTGTCGAAATGTCTTTGTTGAAAAATGATTTCCTGATTCTCCTTGTTCGCTTTGTTTGACCTGTTCGGTGTGGAAAATAAAGCTTTTATCATCTTTAAGTACGAAGAATGAGGACAATAGGTCATTCCCTTATATTCCTACAACTTCAACTTGAGCCTAGAGATATTATAAGCTAGTCTAAAAGATAACAACCACCAAAGGATTCACTTTTTAGAATGTAAATGTAAGTTCATTGATGAAAGTTTAAAATACCTTTTTAGTAATCACATTTTTTGTTTATTTTTCTCATTTTTGATTGAAGAATTGCATGAATGACATACAGTGGTGTTTTTGTCATTGTATATAGCTTTGTTAAAATCGTACGTAATTTAGCACAAACTAATCAGGTCCTTTAATCTGTGATGTAATAACTCTTCCAATGCTGTGTAGTGACTGGTTGGTCATGTCTTTATTTTATCACTAGCTAAGAACACACATTTTCTCTTTATGTTGTCTTTTTTCATTTGGATTGACGTCTTTTGCATTTTTTGTACACTTTCCAATGCCGATTCTAACATGTATTGTGTGTGCGTGCGTGTGTGTGTGTGTGTGTGTGTGTGTGTATATGTGTGAGAACACTGTACTGTAACAACTCAAAAGCTCTTATTACATGGCTCTGGTGTGTGTACTAAATATCCAGGGCAAGTGTGTTGACCCCAGTCATGTCGGAAGTTCAGGAGTTGAGAGGGATTTTCTTAAGGGGATCTTTGCAGAAGTGTTTGCTTGTGTGTGTCTGTCTCTTTGTATGTGTGTGTTTGTGTAAGCTTTCCTGATTAACACCAGATGTGCGGGGCTCAGGGTGTCGGCGGTAGCTTGAGAGGGCCCCACTGTACTCCATTCGGCCCTGGTTGCAGAAAATGCTAAAGAGACCTCTTCACACATGGCTGACATTAATATCTTTGCTGTTCATCCCCCAGATCCCTGCAAGGTTCGAAACATCAGGTCAGACTAAGAGTTCACTCAGGAGGTCATGCAGAAGAGCAGAGCGTTAGTGTAGGTCTGCTGCTTCTCCACCAGAGGGCGGGAGAGAGCTGTAGTACGTCTGTAGTCTCTCAGCTCAGGTCCCACAGTCTGACTACTGAGGAATAATACTTCGTTTTTTAGCTCTTATAAAGTTATTTGTAGTGAAAGTGTTCCAACATTTGAAAGATAATTAGTTTCACGCGGAAAGTTCTGCAATATTTTGAGTGTTTGTGTGTGTGTTAGTGCTGCATATAAGGATTAATACTTTCAATAAGAATTCATATTTAGTTATTATTATTATTATTATATTATGTATTGTTTTATCGTCCATAAAACAAGTTTCCTAGGCCCAAATCGACATTGTGAATCTGATTATTTTTGTCTAACAGACAAAAATTAAAGATGTTAAATATTGCAAAAAAGAACAGGAACATTAAAAAAAATGTAGAATATTTCTTATACATACTCCCAAACATAAGATTGAAACGATAACTTGATTATTGAAAATGGTAATGATTAAATGTCAATTGACTAACTCATTTTCCCGCGCCTAATAATGATTAATACATATTGCAATGGATTTAATAGAGAGTTAAAGTAGTTTTAAAACAATGATTGCTTTTTATCTTCCTTTACAAACAACATTTTAACAAATAGTTGTTTTAATTTTTCTCAAAATGATCCAGATAACTTTTTTTTCTTGTAGTTTGCAAAACTTGAACATGTAAAAAATGCCTTCCTTCAAACATCAGTGCAGTGAGACCTGTCTGCATGCTCAACTTTGTCACAAGTTATTATTTCATGTGACTTCTTCCACTTTCTTGAACCCTTTCCTCTGTCTTCACCTCCTCGCCCTGCTCTCTACCTTTTGTCCCTGTGTGAATATTTCACATTGCTGCTGCCGCTGGTGCATGATGCGGGGACTGAGCGCTCATTGTGTGTACGCAGTGTGGGTGCAGCGGTATGCGGCTCCTCTGCGTGTGGTGTGTCGTGACAGGCGTGTGGCCGCTGACGCCAGCCAGCCGCCTGCCTGTCTGTCTGTACGGTTACACCTGACCGACGCTGACATCGCCTTACCCACACACACACATGTTAAAACATTCACACACACACTCTCATATACATTGCACCACGAGACATGATGCCCAAAAGTTAAACAAGGTTCACCGACTCCCTGCCGCTGTAGTCAGCCCACTGGGCCCTTCAGTACAGGAGAGCCTTTGATGTTCTGCTGACTTTGCAAGTTCATTGGTGTTCATTTAATTTAGTGATCTAAGTTTTAAAAAGCAACTTGCATGATTATAATGTAAATAAGATAAGATAGAAATAAAACATAGCTGCGTATCTGCAGTTCAATATTCAAGCAGATTTATACTGTTATTAATAATAATATATCATATTTATATAGTGCTTTTCCCAGTGCTCAAAGACGCTTTACAAGAAAATACAATGAAATAAGAGTAAAAAAATAACAACAAAAACAGTCCTGAGCTATGCTTTTGTTTCTCCAGCACATGCATCTATATATTTATTTTTCATTTAGTCTAACCCTGGTGCAAGATCATTTGTTGTGGTATTTGTTTTAAATTGAAAATGCATTATAGAGTTTTTGTGGTTTTGATATGCGCTGTGCCGGTCTGTTCAGAAATGCAGCGAAGGCCATATTGCCGCGCACTGTGGCGGAATCCTCGGTATTTAGTGTGTTCCCTCAGACCGGCCGAGGTGAAAAGTTGAACCTGGTGTTGACCTTCTCTTGAGAGAGGGCTTAGCTCTGAAGTCAGGCGCAGGCCAAACGCACAGGGAGGATATTCTCAAGTTCCTCTTTCCCTCCCTCCCTCCCTCACGTGCACCGCTGATATCCACGGGCACACTCCCCTCCCACACGGAAACAATTAGCATCTGTGATAAGATGTTGTACATATTTCCATCACTTTATCTCGTTGGTTTTGTTTGTTTTTCCGACATGACAAAAGTCTCGTGTCCTCCTGTCATGGCGCTGTTAATCACAATTACATCTCATCTAGGTACATGGAGCTGCAGAGAGAGAAGGAAGGAGAAATAGACTGAGAGGGGCCTCCTGTTTATCACTGCAGGGAGCTGAATTCCAGATGGAGAGATAATGAAGAGAACAAGCAAACAATTATGCAAAAATAGACAGTGTGGGGGGGGGGGGAAGCAAGCGCAGACTGACAGACAACAGGAATGATGTTTGGGCCAAACTAGACACGTTTTTTATTTCTACTCTCAAGAGACCGGTTCAAAACCGATCTGCATTGTCACCAGCAAGAGCAAATACGATACTACTAAAAAGGAAATAGCATTTGGGGTTTATTTGTATCATAATGTAATAATACACTTGAAGTATGATCTAAAAAGCTGTGGCCATGAATTTACAGAAAGAGCCGTTTGAACACTGTTTGTGAGTGGGTTTTATTTACCATCTTTAATTGTTTTTGTCCCATTGAAGGACAAGGAACATTCATCTTTCTGGAAGATTTACACTCCTGTCATGTGTCGTATCATGTGTCGTATCATGTGTCGTATCATGTGTCGTATCATGTGTCGTATCATGCGTCGTATCATATGCGAGAGACTTGCTGATCCACACCATATTCTGCTAGAACACCTTGACCCAGAATACAAAACCAAGTTTGATATTCTCCCAGTCCACCGGAGCAGGAGAATATATGACCTTAAGATACGAGTCCGACAGTAGACGTTGAGTCGTGCTGCACTACGTTCTCCATCTGTTTTAGTTTTGGAGTGGTTGTGATAACCTCAGCCTGACCCCTGATTGGGTTAATCTCACCCTCATCTTCTCTCGCTGGTCAGCTGACAGAACGCCGCGCTGCGATTGGTGGACGCACTGCTGAGAAAGAGGAATTTGTTTAGCATTGTGTTGAAGTCACAGCTAGCCGCTGAGACGTTTAGTCTACTGTCCAAACCATAGCAAAGCTTGAAAACACAAAAGCAGAAAGAATGTTTAGGGTGACTATTCAAGACTCAAACATGTTGGCTTTCTCAGGCAGTAGCCAACACGATACTGTTCCCCTCGCAGTGTGTGTAAAGCAGAACTAAATGTAAAATGATGTTGACTTGTGTATTCAGAACAACCTTATAGTAATAGTTGTTGTACCTCATAGTCTGAGTTTTGGAGAAAAGAGAGCTCATATCGAGTTAAAAGCAGAGAGTAATGCAACGAGCCCAATAATGTAAATGAGTTTCATTCAATGTTTCCCCCTTTAACTCTCAAAATAAGGATCCTGTTAAATGAAGTTATTGTAGTTACAGTATGTCTAAATAGCTGTGAGGGACAGGCCGCTGTGCAGTAGCTGCTCCAGGCGCTCTGTTTGGAGGGCTTACATCCAGCCAGATTAGATCAGACTCTGTTTGTTTGTTTTGATTTGGGAGGGGCCAGGCTCCTGAGGGATAGCCCCCCCCTCTCTCAACCACGACTCTGCTATCCCTCCCCAGGATTCCCCTTCAGGGCACAGTCGACTGGAGCCCCTCTGACCTCTCTGTCACCCCGTCCTAACCCATGTTAGCCAAGGCATCCTGGAAGAAAAAAACCAAAGGAAGACTCTGCTGTGTTTTAGCGTCCGCGCAACCAAATCACAACCAGACCCGTTAGTCTGGGGGTGTAGGCAGTGCCACCCAGGCAGGCAGCGCCTCTGGCCCTGGTCAGCCCGAGCAGAGCTTCACCC